CATCTTACCGAAACCTGCCAAGGACTGTTGAGGATGCCAATAGTGTATTGTCGGCCTATCCTTTCCTGTAGTGTTGTAGCCCTAGCGTTGATATCATGTGATGTGCACGGTCGTTACTTGCTTTGCTATTTGTAACTGGAAATGCCGTTTCATGCAAAAATTAAACATCTGTAACATTGGTTATGAACAGATTGCCAAAGTATTGTTATGGTATTGTTATGGTAAAGATGGTAAGACTGAGCTACCAGGAATGTTTTTTCTTGCTTAGGATTATTTATGCAATTACTAGCTAACTCTGATATAACCATTGTGGTGCAACAACATTCTCGCTGGTGATAGTCCTTTGGTGTTGCTAAATCAGCTGTTACCTGTGCTGTTACCAGTCATTCATAAAATATGATCTGCCACCTCAAATGCTTCACATACAGTAGTCAATCAATGTGGTATATTGTGTAACGGCATGGGTCAACAGCGTCATTGTGGCACTACCTCAGTGCTGTACTGTGGCAAGGCGTAATGGACAATGATATAGTTTTTGTACTGCAATCCCTGCTGCTTTCATAATAAACCCCTATCATGAAAAGATGGGTCAAGCGTGCATTCTTATATCACGTCCCCATCTGTCATATCACTGACCAAAAACACATCATACAATATACATATCGCTTTCAGCAAAGCAGACAACTAATGAGTGACATCGTTTGCTCAACCTTTTTTGGGAATGCACCAAACATAGGTGACAAAGATGCAACACTTCTTCCACTTCCACAGTCATGCATCATGCAGCAGCGAGCAGGCTGCTTTGCTAAAAAAAAGACAACAAAATATTGCGTGCAGTGAAATGAGACTGCAAACATGCTGACCTTGCACAAGGCTTAAGAGACATGACAAGTGGATATAGTTAAGGTTAGACGGGCAAAATGCAAGGAAGTGATAAAGCTGCCAGCACACACAAGGCTCATGATAAAAATATTATTAGGTGCTGTCCAAAACTCCAACAGCAATACTTTTCACCTCTCTAGCACCAGGCACCTCACGCAAGTTGCAGTGACTATGACATTGATGACTCACAAGCAATGCTTGCCTGCATACATTTGTGAAGACAGTAGTATGTGCATCAATACCAATACAACACTGTATTTTCGGAATTCTTCAGGAAAAGACAATTTCGCAAACCCGTATCATGTGAGCTTATACCGGGTATGTGCGTTAGTGAGCCCCGTGCACGCCAGCCCCAACTGCCAAATTGAGTGGCTAATGCACTGGCATGCAATGGATTAATTGCATGCTGTAGTACCTTAATGGGTTCAAAGTGTTGATAAGATCACAATGAAGTAGAAAATTATCTTTGAACACTCTTGCAAATGAGGTCCTAGTGTTTATTTCAGTTTGGCATCAAGCCCCTGATGCACATTCTTTTGTCAAGTCAATGTGATCTCACATCTGCACAGCTCGCGAGACATCCAAATTGCGGGTTTTCTCGCAATTTCCGCACAGATTTTCGTTTATAACACCGAATTTCATTGTGGGTTGCCTCCAAAACAAACTCCCAACGGGGTTCATGGTAATGCAGCTCAAGAGGTTGCAATTGCAGGACACGATTTGTGATTAAGATTTAAATTTGTCGTACAATATGTGTGAAATATTTAGAAAAAATAAACATCTCTCTCTCTCTCCTCTCACTCTCACTCTCACTCACTCTCACTTTCACTCTCACTCTCTCACTCTCCTCTCCCCTCTCTCACTCTCTCTCTCTCTCTCTCTCTCTCTCTCTCTCTCTCTCTCTCTCTCTCTCTCTCTCTCTAAAATGAATGTAGTGTTTCCCTAATTCTATGGTGCCTTGCTAACCTATCAACCCGTGCAAGGTTCTTTGCTCCGGTGCACAAGGCGCCAACCAACCTGTCTGTAAGAGATACGTCAGCAGAAGAAAAAAGCGCCAGCAGGGGAAAAAAGACAGATCTGCCGTCGCGTCTTCTTTTTTATGACATTCGGGAGAGTGTCCCTTTTCGGTGCCGTACTTTTTTGCAGACAGTGGCGTTCCTTTTATGACATTGAACTTTGACCTAAAAATAAGGAAAATGCCCCGTTGACGAGTGTCACACAACCAAGTGCTCATGCTTACGTTCGCGACACACAGTACGCAGCGAAATCTTACTGCTCGCTACGAAATCTGGATTCAATCACCTTCCGCGTTTAAGCATACGCAGTGTCGCAGTGTAACCACTTTTGGCGGGTAACAAAAACCTTCTTTGTCACATAACACATTCATCCCATGCATTGGTGGGGAGCTTCGCGGGATTTCTTTTCACAAACATGTGAGCTTAGAATGCATGCCGAGGTGATCGAGATCTTAAACAGTGACACGCCATGGTCCCCACTCTGACAAACACACCGATCCAAATATCGGAAAACACGGGGGTAATTTCGTACAGCCTTTGCTGCTGAGAACAACGGCACAGCGAACACGCGTTGGCGCCATTCCAATAGCCAAACACTTCACGACCGGGCTACCAGCTGGCAGTCACCGCACGACGTCACGTGATTAGTAGCATGAATGAATGCCCCGCCGCGGTAATGGCCGTACACGTAACGCCAACACGCCGGCGACGCTAGCAGTGGTCTTAACAGGCGAGTGAATGCGGATAGGGGAGGGGCAGAGGCGAAGGACCACGTCCATAGTCGTGGCCACGGTTATGGATCGCATGGGAATGGCGACCGTCACCCGCCTGCACGTGGAGACGGCACGCCACCGGTCACAGTGTACATCAATACACCGCCGGGAATACACGCACGGGACAGCGTGGCACGCCCACGGGGCACGCGCGGGATCCAGTGATAACGGTAGTCAGAGAGACATCCCGGGACCGCTCAAAGGTGTGTAGGTCCAGGCAACCACATCACAAGAACTACCATGGAAAGCTGCGGCGCTAATGATTGTGGCATTCGCCCGCATCCCTAAATAATGCAAAATATAAATAAATAAATAAACAGTGCATCATATGCCCAAAAGGACGCATCGTTTGGTGTGCTTCGGGACCAACCAGTGCACACAGACAAGCATAGTCTTGTTATCTCAAAAATTATTCGCGCGGCCAATTAATTAGTGAACTTCTGACATGCGAGGATCTAGTGGTAGTGGTGCCACGCTGTGTGTGTCTAGTGGTAGTGTGCGGAGGTTTCTGAATAAGTGTCCAGGGGGATACATTAATGCTAAGGCTTCGTCTTTTGTTTCAAATTGTTAATAACGGAGATTTTTAACTCTTCCATATCCTTTCAATCTCAATTTTCAAGGCCGGGTGAAAGCTATTTATGTGTTGCGTGACTCAGATATGATTAACATGGCCGCAAAAAAATCATTCCTGGACTCTTTGACAAGCCGGGAAATGTCTCAGCTTTACTTTGACTAGTAGTGTGGATAACCCCGCAGCGATTTCGTGGAAGGCCTCGAGCGATGAACACTTAGTCTTCGTTGCAGGAAGTACACAGAGGCACACAAATGCAACCACAACTACAACAGTGAGTGTCCACCAACCAACGCATGCACATCAGCATCCCCTACACAGCGGCTCACTCGCAGCCCCTATTCAGTGACACAGGCACACAAGCGTGGTGCCCACTGCGGACAACGCTGGGCCAACGTCACCCAGATAGCATACATAAAAAGCTCTGAGCATTGTCAGTATCATCGCGCAAATGCCCAAGCAAAGCACACTCAGCATGATGCAAAATCATTGAAGTAATTCAGGAAAGACTACACGATAATTGTCAAGCGTTCTGATACATGCAACGGCTTCGCTGTGTCAGCCGGGACAGCGCACATTACAATGGCAAGTACTACAGATAGCAGCGCAATATGACATAACATAAAACATATAAAACATTATAGCAGAGCAATACGAAAAAGCAAAGATCTTTTTACCCGGCGCTTCGATGCAACCACAGAAAAAATCATAGTCGAAACTCTTTGTGGCAAAGTATCGTCGAATCTATAATCCCGAACTTCTCCACGACAGCAAAGTTGTGCGCGTTACCGTACACTAAAAAATGTCCTTAGGCTTACTGCATCAGCTCGTAGCAATCCCCTAGACAGACTGACGTGTCGTTGGTACGCACAGTGGCCCAGTTCCTAATCTTTGCACCAGCCCATCTGAATAAGACCTATATGGCCCAGTTCCTAATCTTTGCACCAGCCCATCTGAATAAGACCTATACTTATCTGAATAGAATAAAAATAATTATCCTGTCTGGCCTCCCGTCCGGATTATATTTGACATCAGCTGACACTCCACACACATACGTGGCTATTATGTGTTTAGTCTTAGAGATAAAACAAGCACGTCCAGCACGTCACATAAAAAACAACGGAAAGTGATAGTGGATAAAAACACATGCGCACACACACACACACACAAACAAAATGAGACAACCTTACGCGCAAAAAAGGATCTGGTAGCACGCTTACAGCTTGTTAAATTCAGTCGTCGCACATCCAGAGGCAACTCAGGCAATGAGACACAAGCAATTAGAAACACCGCTCAGTGTGCAAAGGACCACTGTCCTGCCGCCGTGCGCACCGCCAGTGGCGCAGGGTATGGATCCGTGGTGTGCACCATAGATGCGGCCACCTTCCCCAAGCATGAGGCCCACATCTGCTTTGAAACCAAAATAACAACATACACATAAAATTGATCTATCTGAATTATGCCTATATGTGTCCACCATCTGGTGCTGACACCCCAAAGCAAAATTTAGTGGTTTTGTTTTTCACCACTTTTTGGAAGATGAGCAAAAGCTACTTACCCTAAGTAACAACTGTTTCAATCTTGCCCAAAAGCAATATCTGAATTGTAATCATTTATATGCTTTGCTGTACCCAAATGATCTGGCCTTTAGGATGCTGATGTGGTAAAGACTGCTCTGACTGAGACCTAAAGATGTAGGCAGTGATGTGAGAGATTTCATGACAGGTGAAAACAAGTGAAGCAGGAGCAGGTACTTACCTGAAGGTGATACCACAGAGCTATGTCCATCCACATAAAATACATGAGGACTGCAGTGCCACCTAGTAACATGCATTTATTGTCCACACCCAACATGACTTCAGGGTGTCTTGTCTTCCTGAGGCAATGACTTTCTGAAAAGGAACAAACTTAAAGTTGCATTATCTATAGCACAGCAGCACAAATACAATGCCCCATCATACAACTCTCAGCAATGTGTCTAAAGCTTATCCTTTGCATTCCTTACCTTGGCATTCAACTTCACAGCACAATGGAGCACATATCACTAACTTGTTATGATATTTATCTGAAAGTGTGGGATCTGCTTCAACTCCTATTGAACCAATGGCTTGCTAAAGATTATGTTCTGAGTAAAATATATCTTGTGGGGCCAGATAATAACTGATGGCATGTATGATCAATACATCTACCAGGATCAGGAGCATACCTAAAAACAATTTGCCATTTCTACTAAGCCTGAAAATAAAAATATGTAATATCCATACAAAATATGCTGCATACACTCAGACATATTTTCCCAGCATAGTGCAGACCCACAAAGGACGGCACTACATTTCCCAAAAATGTACTTATTACACACTTTGTGTGTTAGATGGGATGGTTTTAAACATTTCAACACATTTGAGACACAAATGTGTCAGACCTTAATTCTGGAAGAAGCTTCTTCATTGAGAAAAACACATTAAAATTGGCCTAAAGCATACCACAGCATCACAGGCAAGTTCGAGAAAAAAGGACTAGACAAATCTGTGTTCATTGATAGGACAAAAGTTGCAGAAGTGAGTAAGCACTGCATGAGATGTACATCACACAGAAGTGTGGGGCATGCTGTCATCTCTCATAATTTGAGAAGACCAGCTTGAACACAAACTTTGTGCTTAATGCCATACATCAGATAAATAAAAGTTTGTATTTCCCAGCCCCATGGGCTACGCAGTTCAACAAAAATGATGTGCCTGTAGCAGAGAGTGCAAGGTGGGTACATACCAGTAACCAGCATCAGCATATATAACACAGGCAATTGTAGAGCAGAGTATTGCAGATTTTCCCATCGTTGGTACTGGACGTTCCAGCAATTCACACTACAGCATCATTATCCTGCACTATATGACTGCGCTCACGACAAAATGTGACATACATACCCAACTGGAGATCACGTCATAAAGCCTAGCCGCCTCCCAGCAACGAGGTTTTCACAATTGCAGCGGACCCCGCCACACCACGTGAGCGGCGGCTTCCCTCCCTTCCTCAACCCAAAATGTCTTAGACCGACAGTTCTACACCAGCAGGTCGCCCCTGGCTTGCCTTGGATTAGGGCGACAGCAGGTTGCTCGGGTTTTATGGAAGACGGCATGTGTCCCATCTGCGCCAAAAACAATGCGCAATCTGCAAGCGCAAAATAATATGGCAGTAATTTCCCAGTAAAAAAGAGGTACTTTTACTAACTTATAGGGAATGCTTCATTTCGAAAGAGCCATGTTCGATTTGTCGTCAGAACGTTTGCCAGCATTAATTACGGCCCAGTATTCGCCCCACGCCACGTCACGTGACCACAAAGTCGCTTGACCTGTGACGTTTTGCGCCGGCTGACGACGATGTCAGGGACTGCGTTTGATCGGTCGTTAGCATGTTTATCAGCACCAATCATGGCCCATTATTCGCCCCACGCGACGCCACGTAACCACTAAGTTGCAAGGCCTGTTACTTCGCGCACCGGCTGAAGATGATGCCATGATTTTTTTGTGAGCCCGTCAGCACGGAGAAAGCGCTAGCAGATTAAGAAATCACTCTGACTGTAGAGCAAGTTTTATTTGGTGGCTCTTGCGTTGGCGAGTGCGTTAGGTGGGGTGAGGGCACTTACTCTAATTTGCGGGGGGGGGGGGAATGGAACGTGAAATGGATGAGGAGGGAATTGAAATGCCAAGAGTGGCCATGAAAAGGTGAGTGACTGTGGCTGGTATAGCGTGTGGTAGCGTCGCCCAGCAAATCAATAGCGTTATGGGTAAACACTTAAAATGAGAGGGAATAGACTGGTATGGATTGGAAATGGGAAGAAGCACTCAACATGCGGATGGGGTAGATAATGGCAAAACCGGAGTAAAAGCCATACTTCCAAACGCCACTTTGTACGCAGTGTGTTGGCGGTAAGACAAAGTTGGTGTGTGGGCTGAAGTGAAAGGTAAAGGAAGGAGGGAGAGTAAAGTGAAAAACTTTTACGTCAGCCCACATATCGAGCGCACCGTCAGCACGCATGGTGTCACGCATTCCAGCAGACAATCATGCTGACGACAGATCGAACGGTGCCAGGATTTTTTTTAGGCTATGCGTATACACCCTCCAAAACGTAGGGTGGTTGCGCAGCGGGCTTATACACCCTCCAAAACGGAGGGCGGTTACGCACCGGGCTTATACGCCCTCCAAAACGGAGGGTGGTTACGCACCGGGCTTACACACCCTCCAAAATAGAAGGTGGCTGCGTACCGGGCTTATGCACCCTCCAAAACCCTCGGAAAGGATATGCGCACCGCCCCTACGTACACTGCAAATCCTATAAGACAGCCAGCCCCTGTCATCCCTGTGTATCGCCATTTCATTTTTGCGTTCTTTTTTGTTCATTTTCGGTAAGTTCCAAATGCGTGGCGCGAAAGAGACAAAATGAGTTCACCAACCTTGACTCAGGTCGCTGCGTGTCGCCTGCTGTCTCTCAGTTCATCTCATCATCTCAGTTCGTATCTGTCCAATGGCCTTGGCTCATCTTATTGATGTTTTGTGGGGGGCTTGGGGCGGTGCATGTTGGATTTAATTATGATGTGTTGGAAGCTTTTGTGTGGCATGCACGAAAGCTAAATAATTGTATTGTACACGATGCTGTTTGTGTGTGCGGTAGGCATTTCTTAACCTGTTGGTAATGTTAAAGGCACAGGTTTTTCTCCATGATTTTAGTGCAAGGCGGGTTTGGGCCGCTAGTTGCAGGGGGTGGAGTGCTTTGCCTGCTGTCTTGCACTATGTTTGATTGTGCGTGTTGTGTTTATATGGCTGCATTTTTGAAGACATGTTTGAACCTGGTGGTGCAAAATTACCACATTATTGTTATTACATGCTGTAAAGCTGATGTATTTCTTCAATCAATCCAGACACTGCTCAGATAACTAGCATCTTTTTAATTTTTTTAGAAGTCATTTTGAAGCACCAATTATGAGCAGTACAGATGACAGCTGGCAAACATAATGCTGTGAATATTTATGTATAGGATTAGGTTGCATTCTCATCCGATTACATATTACGGTTGTTTTGGGTGCTGAATCCCATGTTGCGTCAATTTTTTATCATCATGCTATCATCCTTAGGTATATGAGTGTACGTAAGCACATTATGTGATGAATATATAAATATCATGATTGATCTGATATGACATTTTTTGTACCTGTTCCATTGCATGCTTTGGGGTCCAGGCTTCATAACTTGCTGTGTGAATCCAATTATATCAAAGGTGTCATAAAGGCTCTTCCCTTGAAAGCTGATGATAACTATGACACTCTACTTTTTTTGCTTTGATATACCAGGGACCTGCAATGAAATTGTCAGAGACAGGTACCCAAGAGGGAGGCATGGAAAGAGGGGTGTCTGCAGTCCTTACAGTGAGAAGGACTGTCACAGGACTGTGCTGCTGTGGATAGACATTGGACGTGCATTGGTGCCCCAAGCCACCTGTTAGCGAGCAAACGGGCCGTCGCTGCCGGCGCGGCGGCGGCGGCTCTGCGTGGGTGTGAGCGGCCCCTCTGCTGAATGGTTTCCACCATCTGGGGCCCATAAACCCACGTGGGTTTATGGGGACACGCGGGCGGGGACGCACGGTCCCTGCCGAGCAGTCCACTTTCAGGCTCCGACGGCGCGGCTCGACGCGAGCCCAGCGCACGTTCGGACTCCGCCGGCGCGGCTTGACGCGAGCCGCGACAGCGTTTACGACGACGACGACGACTTCGGAGTGTGCGACGCCGCCCTTCCAACCCCTCTCTCACCTTTGCCTTGCAACTCTTTGGCTAATAGAGACTCTTTCCTTTCAACGTCTCAAGTCGATGGTCCTCTGGACAACTAACGAACTCTTTCGCACGAACACCACCAATAGTGAGAACTGTGGGTGCTGTATAGAAAAGAAATGCTGTGACCAGGTCTGTTACTTACGTCCCATTGTCGTTGATATCTAGAATAAGGACACTATGGCTGCTCCTGGTATTCAGAAAATCATGCTGGAGTGTGTTATGCATGCATAAATAAAGGCAGGCTGTGCACTAGGCATTGTCTAATGGTTACAAAAAGTTTGTTTTCCACTATTGCTGACAAATTGAAATTTCTACCTCCTTGAAAATTATGAAAACTGCATTTCAAATCAGACATGAGCATCATTTATGCAGCAGTTTCAAAATCAATTTCCTTACATGCACATGGCTATTGAATGGTTTTCAAAGGTCATAGTGAGTTGTAGCAAACGACAGGTTTTGATCTCTTCAGGCACCAAGATGACCTGATGCAAGATTATAAGTGATTATATAGGATTACTGTGGGATAAGCAATCCGGAAACATGCATGACATGACTAGCATACTGCGTGTCATGTTGGCCTCATATGACTACATCTGGACTATGTAAAGACCAGAACAAAATTGTAGCCGACGTTTAAGCTGCATAACGCGATCAAAATGGACGTGAGAATATTATGAATCATGGATCACATGAATGCAGCATATTATCACGGTAACCTATGGAATGACCTTGACCAGACTCCATTGTGTCACCTACATATTTGTGACACAGTATCCTCATTTGGCCAAAGAGCATATCCTTTTTGAGGAAATGAAACACTGCAATTGACCCAGCTCCTGCAAACCTGTAATGGGGGTCTGCAGGCCTTTGCCCTGACCTTGACCTTTCGTGTCAGTGCGATTTCTAATTGTTTTTCTTTAAGATGCGCCTATGGACTCTTTCGGTTTCATATATATTTCCAACTCAGGCAATTAATTCCTGAGAAAAGCTTTGTGAGAGTTGTGTCTCCCGGCTCTCCGGCTTCTCGAGCCCGGGGCGCTCGGGTGGGACGCCAGCCAATTAATTATTGAGAAACCCTGCAGCTGATATTACGGTCTATTCGGGGAAGAAATAGTCTTGTTATAGCCTTGTTGGAGGGGAAGGTGTATGATTTAACCAATGCCGTCGCCTCTAATGTGTTCTTTTGTGTATATTGCCCGCACCTTGAGAAAATGCAAACTCGAAGTTCTTGATTTCGCTGAGTTCATATCATCCTACTTGGGTATGGCGCGATCGAAACACAGCAGGGCTATTTCGTTTCTCCCAGCGAACTGACAAGCAGCTGCATCTCGGGACTCGAAATCGGTAGAGAATGGCCCATTTCAATCACCCTTTATGCAGCATAGCAGCATCTTGGCGCCAGCTCGGCACCGAAGGTACAAGAGTCGCACCTGTGCCATAAAGCGCAGGTTAGTACCTTCCAAGTTTGGCCTTTTCTCAGCCAATGGCTGCTGACACTAAAGCATAGTCGGTGAAAGTAACAGTGGCAGTTTCTTATCGCTGAATCTGTGGTGGCGACGTAGAAAGCATGTTGCCCACGTCCTTCATCTCTGGCGGCAAGCAGGCGTGATTCGGCGCAGCACTTTTGGTGTCACGTAAATCACAGATGAACACCGCGTCATCAAATCGTTCACAGTTCATGCATTGGTATATGTCGCAGCACGTCGACAGGTACTAATGCGCTTTTTACCCATGCTGCACAGTCTCGCATCATCGTCGCAACGGGAAATCCACCATAGGTTGCGTGGGAATTGGACAAAAGGGAAACAGCGGCATCAGAGGCCGAGCCCGAGGATTGCCTTGCTCTGCAGTTTTTAGTATCACAATTGTAAAACCTGCATACCACTTGAATAATCTCACACAATGGTACCCCCGTGGCACAGACAGCGGCGGCACGGATAGCACGCCCCCCCCCCCCCCCTTCCCTTAGGACCCCAAGGGCTTGTTCAGACCCCTTGGTATCGACGATTGAGGGCCCGTTTTGAGTGCCCAAAGGTCTGACTGGGGGTCGCATAAAGGTGCCTGACGCTGCTGGCTGGGCTTACAAATACCAGTCAGAGGGCTCTTTGCATGGAATGCAGGGGATCCCTGCGTCGATAAGGGCCAATCGGTCGGTTAGGCACCACCGGAACCAAGCATTCGGCTCCTCGGCAGTCTAGGTCTGAAGACCCATTTCTAAAGCAACGACAAAGGCGGGGTTCCTGTGTCACCCAGGGTTCCGA